TGTGCTGCTCATTTTCAGTATTTCTTGTACCTTGTGTTTTCGGGTTTGGATCTGTTCTGGAAGCCCCTTAAAACCCAGTGGTCAGAAACATGTTACTTCTTTAGAAATTGAGCTGAATCACAATTCCCAGTCCTACTGAATCCTTTTCTTTTGCTTTCTTTAGAGCTGCTATTCTTCCAGCAGGTCAGTATATTTTACTAATTTTGATATGCTAGCAATAAACTGGAATCTCTACCTGCCCACAAAATTCCTGGACTATAAATTGCCAGGTGATAGACATAAAGCAAAGGAAGGACTGTGATTTTGGAGTGAGGGAGGTTGGCATCCCTCTTTCTATGAATTGATAGATTAGTGTTTCTCAAATTGTGGGGCTTACAATGTTAGTCTGTTCCTGGCTCTTCTCCTCAGCTGAGAGTCCTTTGAGGACTCCCAAATGCTCATAGGAAGCAAAGTATTCCTTTACTGCAGACGTGTAATTAGCTATAGTGACTATAGTTACAGAGCTGTCAGGTAATAGTTTTTATGATGATTATATTCCCTCATTAGTATGTATAGATTTTATTTTTAGAATTGTTTTAAGATTATTGTAACTCCTAATAATGTAACTATGAGTTGGAATTGTCTTTTTAAGGTTATGATATGCAAGAGCAATTTACTGTAATAAGTTGTTGTGCACTGTGATGACAATGATAAATGGTGCCTCAGAAAATATGTTCCAAGCATCATGTGTCAGCAGGCTGCTGTTTCAGCAGCTATGGAGATTTTTTTTTTTTTCTGAGCACTGTGTTAAGGTAGTATACATCTGAACAAAAATTGTACCTAGAGAAGAGCACTTTAAGATGGTAATTCCAGGCTTGTGCTGACTGCATGTTCACTGCAGGAAAAGAATTAGTAAAATGATACATAGAATTCAAGGATACATGGACAAATGTGATAACCTTGCATGTATGCTGCAATGCACACATAAATTATTATTATTATGAAATCCTAATTAGTGTAATTAATATAAAACAATACATGAGCATAAGGGGAAAATATACTAGGAATATAGTAGCCCACAAAAAATTCTTTCATGTCTGAAATGAGGTATTTTAACTTAGTGTTAATCCTACTTTAAAATAAAGCTAAAAGCCCCAGCTGTAATTGTGTGGCATCCTATTGGGAGCAGCTGTTAGCAGCAGAGCTGTCCAGGCTGCTGAGAGGCCTCAGGAGGTCGTACTCTGTCACTAGAGGGGAGTGTGAGATCTGCTTTGCCAGGGTGGTGTTGGGTATTCACCCACCATGTAGGAGGAGAATGTAGTCCGAGGGCACAAAGATTTAATTGCAGTCTGGCTGGCTGTTGTAGAACCGTTATACCATATGATCTTTTCTCCTACATCAACATGGCTATGAAAATAAAATAAATATTAAACCTATAAAATAACTTGTGGAGTAGTGTTGGTTTTTTTGCTTCTGTTGAAATTTTCTTATTAAAATCCCATTAAAGTCTGTCAACAGCAGCAAGAGAATGGAAAAGAGTATCAAGTAGGTACATAACAATTTGAAATACAAAGATGATTTGGAATACATATGATGTTATTTTTAGTCTAAGAAGCATCCTGGGGTTCTGAGGGAATTGGTAGGTGTGATGGCTAAGCCATATCTCAATCATATTTGAAAAGTCATGATAATCAGGTTTTGACTATCATTCAGTGACTGGAGTGACACTGACTGCTGTCCTGTAACAGTATCTCAGGCACTGGAGGGAAGGGATTATCACACCCAGACCCTGGGAACTGCTGACCAGCCTCACCTTTGTGCCCAAACAAGATCATGGATTAGGTCTTGCTGGCAGTTACTTCAAAGCATATGAGAGGTGATTGTATGAAGGTGATTAGAGACAGCCAACACAGCTTTGTCAAGAGCAAATCATGCCCAACTAATCTAGTGGCTGCCTGTGATGGAGTGACTGTATCAGGGGACAAAGGAAAGATAAGAGATGTCACTTGACTTTGGTAAAGCCTTTAATACTGTCCCTTCCAGTGCTTTTGCCTCTAAATTGATGTGGGCTTGATGGATGGACTATTAAATGGCAAGGAATTGTATGACTGCAACCAAAGAGCTACCAGTGCTGAGTGGTATCCTCCCACAGGTGTGTTTTGGGGCCTATAGTATTTAATATCTTTATTGGTGACATAGAGTGCACCTTCAGAAAGTTTGTGTGTGACACAAAGCTGAGTGGTTCAATTGATAAAGGGGATGGGATGCCATCCAGAGGACCTTGACAGGCTTGAGGAGTTGGCATGTACATACATCATGAAACTTAAAATTGTCCTGCACCTGACTTGAGGTAATGCCCAGTATCAATACAGACTGAGGGATGAATGGATTGAAAGCAGTGGAGAAGATACTGGGAATACCCATGGGTGAGAAGCTGGACATAACCCAGCAATGTGCACTCCCAGCCCAGAAAGTCAAATGTGTCCTGTGCTGCATCAAAAGTAGCATGACCACTGGATGGAGAAGAGTGACTCTCCCCCTCTGCTCCGCTCTCAAGAGACCCCTCCTGGAGTGCTGAGTCCAACTCTAGGACAGCCAGCACAAGGTGGACATGGACCTATTGGAGCAGTCCCAGAGGAGGGCCACAAAAATGATGAGTGGTCTATTGACACTGATAAATGTTTGAGATTTTTCCTTTTTCAATGTAGGGATTGTATTTGTACGGAAGCATAAATAAGAGAATTTATCTCTTTATTACTGATGCCTGAAGGGAAACGTGTGAAAGAAAACTGCATCATTCAAGACCAGCACTTTAAAACAAATAACCATCTGGATTAGAAGCTGAGGGTGACAATTACTCTGCCAAAGAACCTAAAGTCATTAGAATTTGTATAAAAGTGTGTGTGTTATCCAAAGGTCTTTTTTTTGTTTGTTCCTTTTAATTAGATGTATTTGTGTAAAAGATACATATCTTTATATATATCTTTATAATGACTCTAGGGATTAAATCCCTTAATGTTCCTCCCTTAGTACCCAAAAGTCACAATAAAAACACCGAGTAATAGGCAGCAGCTGCATGTCTCTTAGTGTTACCTGAAATGTCAGACTATAACTCTTGCCCTCTATAATGTATGTGCATTATTTGAAGCTCAGAAAGTTTGCAGTCCCTGACTGTTTTTAGATAATTGAACAGGTTTTACTATGAAATTTTCTGTGATAATCCTATCCTGGTGTTTTATATCAGTAGCATCACTATGTGGATGAATACCCAAATTTAAAGAACATCTTCCTTTCTTTTCTCTAAGGTTTTAATGGATGATCAAAATCAGTAAGGTTTCCTGTGTTGCCAGTAACATGAGTATGTTGGTAAATATATTTTTATTTCAAAGCACTTGCATCCAGCTTTTCTAAAAATAAGTAAAGCAGTTTTTTTCAAAATTGGTATCTAGTATGGTGTCTCTTTGCCATGCAATACCTGAAATTCTGTCATGTTGCAAAAATCAATGTATTGGAATCTAGCTACTTTATCAAATTGTTTGGTAATGTGCACTTAAAAATCAAGAGCTGTTCCTGTGTCTGAGTTTGTGAGAGCTAGAACAGTTTTGGAAGAATTTAGTACACCATAGCAAAGGTTAGTAGAAATTTATTAATGCTTCAGAAGGTGCTATATAGAATGATTGAGAGCATCTTCATTTGGTATACTTTATATCAGGATCATTCATCTGCTACAATGTGGATGCTAACTGCAAAGGTGGATGAATGAAAACTGGTGAATTGTATGGAGATGCCTAGTTTGCTAAAGTATTTCTTCAGGTATGTACTACAAGGTGACATTTCACCTAAAGGAAAACAATCTAGGGAATAGAATAAAAGGAACAAAGAATCTAGAATAAGAAATCTAGCTAGAAGAATGATCTCTTGATGTCAGAGCTCACCTAAATTTTCAGGAAAAAACTTAATTGGCCAAGTATAACTGTGTTATGCATGTTTATAGGTAATTTTAACAAGTGGCCTTAAAAAAAAATAAAAAACAAATCTTATAACTCTGAATTTTAATTATACATAATTTTCAGGGGTAAGTATTCCCTGGAAGCACCCTAGTAATTTCTTAGAGTGCTGAAATAAGAATTATCAGCTAGACATTAATCCTATTTCTGATTTTTTTCTATAATTTTCCATACAATTAGTTTCTTTAGAGTGCACATTTTCAACATCAGTCTTCCAATAGCAGTAAAACTAAAATAAAATCCTTGAAACCAATGTTTGCAACTGCCAGGTACAAAGTAAGACAAATGATAACAATTGCAATTACAAAAACAAGTCAGGAAAAACGATATGCCACAATTATTGAAAAATAAGGAACCTAATCGTTCTTGAACAACTGCAGCTACAACATCATGTTACTTTCTTCTGCTGATTGCTTTCTGAAGGGTGAGGTCTGACCCACCAGAGACTGCAGGTGCTTAGCACAGGGCTGTGCTCTAAGCATTTGTTTGGCTATGTTGTAATGCAAGGCTCCCACACCTCCAATGCATCCTCTAAGAGGATCCTTGACTCTGTATCTCATGACTGGTCCAGAAATGACTTGAGTGCCGATTTAGAAGAGCTGCTCTCCTCTGCTGCTTCTTTGTGGCGTCTGTCTAAGGACTGAGCTGTCAGTGTATTTTACCAGGGCTGAACCAGACTTTTGTTAGTATGTTTAAAAGAGCTAGGAGACTTTGATTCTCTTAAGTTAGCTACCTGTCCAGAGGGACAGGACTCAGGAAGCCGTGGCAGCTGCTTCATTTCAAGATAGTTGCAGAGAAGATGTGAGAGAGAGGCAATTTTATAAATTACATCTGTGTTCATCACTACTTTAACAGAGTAGGACAGGACAAGTGTGTCTTGTGTCTGGACAAGAAAAACCTGCATCTGTACCTATTATTTTATTTTATTTTATTTTATTTTATTTTATTTTATTTTATTTTATTTTATTTTATTTTTTTATTATTTTATTTCTGTTGCAGCACTGTCTGCTTGGGCAGGAGGAACTTTCCAATATGACAGTTGGCAAACCCACAACATGACAGACTGCAACAGATGCTTCCTGCTGCTACCATATAGATTTTCTCTTGATTACTTGTGTGGCTGATGCACACAGAAGAATGAAAGGAGTGGTAGTAGTTTCAGACTGTCTTATTATTAAATACATTGTTCTGCTTTTGTATCAAGTACAAAAGCTGCCACTATAGATGAGATAACTAGACACTCATCTGATTCAAAAATGAGTGATGTCATTACATCTTAACAAATCATGCTTCTAAAATGGTAAAACTGTAATCAACAGGCCCTATTCCACTGGTGAAGCATGCACATATAGCAGGTCACCTAGGGGGTAGAAAACTGCAAATACCTTACCCATTCCATGCATTCTTTTTTAAAGCTCCCTTTCCTCTCTTGCAGGAAGGCTGTATACATACATAGCTGTATGTGTGTCAGCTTGTGTCAGCCCCTTCTTGCAGTGGCTCTAGTGTTATGAAATTTTATGCTGATCTGAGCATAATGTCAGGTTCTGTTCAGAGAAGGACAGCTCCTGAATGGCTGAACAAGCCATGCACCTTAGAGTGGAATGAAGCAGGAAGCATCTGCTTACTATCAAAAAATGAAGTCAGGAAGAATGCCCGCGATTTTCTTTTTAGAACAAGTTTGCAAAAAAACCCCTCAGGCTTCCAGTAGCATTCTGTTGTCTCATAGAATGTTACCTGCTTTTATCATCTTGCACATTACTAATTGCAAGGCTGCAGCATATGGATACACTATATGCAGAATCTCCATCACAATCCAGTTGCAATTCTCCAGACTGTTTTACAGTGGCAATTAGCAACGCACCTACTATGAAGACTGCTCCTAGCTGCAGGAAGAGTCAGCGGGACTACACAGCAGACAAGAAATGCAGCAAATTGCTGCAATTCACTTTCAGAGTTACAAGGGATACCTGGATGCCAGAACGTTTGCAGGGGCAGTAGCAGGAATAGCCCAAGAAGCATGGTCTGGTGGTTTCTGCCCATTCAGGATAAACCAGGCAGTTTTCCATCAATATCCTGGAAGGCTGCAACCTAACAAGTGTTTTCACACCACACAATCTTTCTGATAGAGACAAAATACTAAATTCAGGCTAAAAAGATCAGAAGGAAGCATATTGGAGATGAGAGCTCTAACTTACTCTGTGCACTCTTTCCATTTTTTTCCCCTAATTCTTACGTAGAAATTGTTTGCTGGCTACTTTTACTCTGGTTTAAGAGAGTTCATCTTTAACTAGGTTTATATTTTGAGGAACATAGCCTGTCATTAGCATAAGCAGCTGATTCTTGCATCCATAAAACAGACACTGAATTTCCCAGCAGTTGCTATGATTACATTATTGCTACAGGAGCTGCTTTCAAGATCACTCCTGCTGCAAGGAAGTTTTTCTGCCTTAGTATTCAATATGATCATGAAACTTTGTCTTCACCAAAAATATATTAACATTTGCAGATAAGCACATTTTACTGTGACACACCACTTAATTATGTTATCCATGTTTAATTTTGGTATTTAAATAAAAACTACTAAATTAAGTTTCTTATATCAGTTTACCAAGAACAGTTGGTGTTCTAGTTTTGTTATGCTCCCTGAAACCTATCATCACTTATGTGAAATCCTAGAGTGGTCCATAGTGGTTGTCAAATTTTGGTATTCAGATTCACAGCAGAAATCATCATTGATTCTTCTCCCAGCCAAAACAAGAGGTAAAGGTGACTGAAGTATTCAAGCATAAGTAGAATAGTTTGTAGTGCTCCTGACATTAATGCCTCAAGCTGGATAAATCTGCTTTAAAACACAAGCTTTTCAACTTGAATATTCATGTTTTTTGCTCTTCTTACTTCTTTCCTGTTACCCTACTTTTCTTCCCCAAAAGTTTTCAAGAACCTTCTCGTTGCTGATATGTTTCCTTCCACTCTCCCAATTCAATTCCTACTTCCTTCCATCTACAGTGCCTTGGCTGTTAGTTCCTCGAGCTCTAGACTGGGCAGCAGGAGTCACAGGAGGAGCTCTGTGCTAGAGTTTTTGCTGTGCAGAGAACACCCCACACCACTTGCCTGCAGCAGCAGTTTACCCAAAATGGTTCCGGTGTGGTTGACCACGCTGTCACAGAAGCTGTTGAAATTGCACAACGGAGAGAACACTGCAAGAAGAGAGGAATGGCAACCTGGACCAGCAGCACATGCTACAACCTCATTCTGTGAAAAACTCAGTTGCAACCCAATCACATCCCTGCAATGAGTCAAAGCAGCTTGCTTACAAAAGGTACTGTTTTGCTGGAAAGCCAACAAGGCTGTCTGTAGAGGTACTTATAAGTTAAACTTGTCTACGCTCCCTGCTGGTACAGCAAAAGAGATCCCCAAAACGAGGAGATACTCCTTGACAGATGTCAAAGCTTGCTTAAAAGCTTGGAGATAGTAGACCAACAGGCATGAACAGAAAAATAATAAATTTCCTTCTTGAAATGGCTAAGCCCTTTCATTTCATAACACAAAAGCAAACTATTGAACTGTATAATTTTATTAGGGTGCTTAGTACCTAAATACATTTTTCCATGAAGTTCACTAAGGCCTGATTTCTGAGTTACAGCACAATCATCAAGACTTACAAGACTAAAACAAGGCAAGAAAGCCACAGAAGCACTTCTGTTTTATTTGGCAATATCCCAAATGTAGTCAGTTTGGAAATAGCTATCTTTGGCTTAACTGTTGGACTTGGATTGATTCCAAGTGGAATGTTCCAAATTGTGTCTATGATAGTATGCATGGCTGTGTCCCAGTATTTCAGTGTTTTTGACAATGATTGTCAAGAGATGAACCATGACTTTGGAAAATAAATGCTGAGGGGTCTATTGGTTGTGCTGATTGCCTTTGGGGACAAGAAGAAAACCAATGGAAAATTGTTTTCTCAAGTGGAATTTTATCAGCTCATACTCCTCATCCAGTGATCAGAAGCCCTGTAGCACTTCTTCATTCAAATATATAAAATGCTGATTGTGTTGATTGGTATCAAGCTGACACTTGATCATTTATTGACATTCAGACTTGGGTCATGGGTTTATGGCTCTTTTGAAAAAGGCTGAAGTCAGTGAGATTTAAAGCTATAATAACTGTATTCAGGTACTGACTTGCCTACAGGATTGGCTGGGCATCCCAAGCTCTTTAAAAATGGCAGTTCAGAATACTTTTAACCATATTCTGTAGAGTTATCTTTTATTAAATCATTAAGACTTTTGAAATGAGACATGCTTCAATATATTGACTCTACAGATGAAAATACTAAAGATTTCTGCACCTTTAAGGTAGAGAGCCATTACACAGCATATTGGAAATCAGTCCTGTAGGTGCTCCCCCACATCCTCTAAACATGCTAGTGTTAAATGTGTTTTAGTTTCAAAAGGAATGTGTTATTTCTAAGAAAAAAAGACTATGTTTCTGTTTTGTAGAAACTCAGCTTTTTTTTTCAGTAGTTAGAATGTCAGCTTTTGGGTTGAATCATCTCACTGCTATAACATTTGATCAGCCAGGCAGCTAGTTTTACTATGCAGGTTATGCTTGGACTCAAAGTTTTTCCCATTACAACATTTTTAAGATCAGAATGGCAGTTTCGTAATGTCTTTCTACATCAGCATTAAAGTTTTATAGGCAATTATGTGAGAACCAATAAAAAGAGACTCCAACTCTGATATAATACTAAGTTCTTTAAGTGTAGCAAAATATTTCTGCAACTCAAGGCAGAAGAAGGGAGCATTTGTATGCAACATCAGAACTGATATTTCATTTCATTTCACCAATCCTTTGCTCAATTAGATAAAAGCCTGTAACACCACCACTCCATGAAGTAAGGTAAGGAGAAAAAGTCAGCTTCTCAATTCCATGTAAATTATAGTCTTCTATGACTAAAAACATACTTTTCAGTACTCTTTGTCTTGATCCATTAGAATAATATAAATTCCATTAGCTTTATAGGCCTGCAAGAGAACCTCCTTTTTTTAGAAATTGATCTTAAACACTTGAAACCAGAAAAAAAAAAATAAATACTAACTTTGAGAGAAAGGACTAGGTTCTTTCAAGAGTGAATGAACAGCAATGAAACCACAAAAATCTTCAAATAAACTACAATTTAATTTTTCTTAGAATCAGTTACAGTTTTTTTCTTTCTACACCTAAAAGAGGCAAATAACAGAATGAGAAATCCTCTCCTTGAAAAGAAGCTGATTTCCATGGGTCTGTGGCTTTCTAGAGACCATGTTAAAATCTGTGGGCATTCCTATGAACTACAGCCAGCCAGTTGTCATTCAAAAAGGTTTACTGGAGCAGAATTGATACAAGCTATGTTGTCACAGTAACCATTACAGCAGGCAAATATCAGCAAGCCTTTTGGTCAGGTCAGTTTAAGATAAGAGAAAGAAAATAGTCAGCTGCTTTCTTGCCTCAGGTTTGATCGTTCCAGCAACTGATGTCTTTGTTGAATTCTGTCTATGTATAGAAAGAATACCCATGAGGATTATGAATAAACCAAATAGAATTACACCTCCTGCTCAAGAATTTCAGGATCAGAGAATCACTGAGGTTGGCAAGGGCCTCTGCAGGTTATCTAATCCAAAGCCCTCCTAAAAGCAGCATCAGGTACAGCAGTTTGCTCAGGGCTGTGTCTAGCTGAGTTCTGAGTATCTCCAAGGATGAAGACTCCCTAACCTCTCTGTGTGTTTTCTTGTGTTCAGGCAGTTTCATGTGCTGTCACTTTTGACTGGCTGGGAAAATCAGAAACTAATTTCTTAAAATGGCATCAATTTAGCTACATTCTGCTAAAACATGATGGGCTTTAGAGAATCTTTATGGGCTAAGTAACCAGACGAGCTATTCTGGGGATATCTGGCCTGCAAATTCTTTTGGACTTAAAAACTTTGTAATGTAGTTCATACTGTTGTTTTTCTAATTGAGAAAAAAAGCTGTCTGTCCCTCTTTAACTCTTTTTACAAAGCAAATTCTTTCCATAGATCTTGTTGAAAGAGCTCTCCTATGTGTTGCTCTGGGCTCTGACAACAAAAGATGCTACCATATAAAAAGTACTCCCAAAATTTACTGAGAGTGGGTGAGATCTTGAAGTAGAAAGCAGAAGGCCAAAAGGCAAGATAGAAATATGATAAAGGAGACAAATCCACAGCTGCACATCTTGCCCCATCTGTCCTTCACTGATTCCCTACAATCATCCTTGGCAGACTGGAAGGGGGAAGACAGGACGGAGATATCAAGTTGTAATTCATGTCTATCTATTGCTAGATTTATTAGAACAGAGCCTAGTTGATTTGTCAAAAGGAAAGAAGCTAAGAATGACTCATCTCTTGGGGAAATTAAAATATGACAAATAGCACCTCTTCCAGTTTTCTTTTTATTTAAAAACACTTATTTATATGAATGCTTTCTTAATGATTGTCCTCAATGAATTCAACTGTTGCACTGATCAGAACATTAATGGCCAATACATGGCAAGTGATTAGAGAAATCTTCCCATCTCTAAAGCTGTGTTGCCCAAAAAAAATCCTGTGTTCTACCAAAATATCAGTTGAAAGAATTCCCTACTTCATGAATCCTGTGTCTGACTCATGTGTTCTCTGACAGGTCCCATTGCATGGATCTGAATTTTGTAAATTGTCAATTTTGCAGATTCTCTCCTAAAATACATAGCACAAAACACTATGCAGTAGCTGCCAGCACAGTAGTCAAAATAAGCTATGTATTTTCCCACAAACATCTGCTAAATACAGGCTTACCTTCAGGAGGTCTTGCAACTAGCTTAGGTCATAACCGAAGAGGTTTTGTACCTAACAGCCATCAGAGCAACCAACTTGTGGAAAACAGAGAAAGTCAAGTTAAATCCTGTATTTGTAAGGCTAAAATTGTCAAAGATGAAAAACATATCTTCTGGGGTTTATTTGTAGAGTGGCTTTTTTATTGTATCTTAAATCAAAAGTTTGGGAGGCTTTTCACACAAAACATTTCAAGTGTACACCCTGATTCTCTACAAGAGACTGAAAGCTTTAAAACAGGAAAAGCCAGTACTCATTCTGTGCCTGAGCAGTTGCCATGGAGTGAATCCAAGACTGTGCCTTTGCCAAAGAGGAAGACATAGAAAGGTTTTCTGTATGATCATACTTACAGTCTTTCAGCATAATTCAGCTTCATGCCTTGCAGAGAGGCAGCCTAGAAAAGCCGATGAGGATGTTCAGAAGATGTTAGATGCTGCTATGTTTGCAAGGACAAAAGCATCAAAGGGATCCAGAATGCATATTTCCATTTTAGTGAGCAGCTGCTGCTCCAGGTTTGGATTGACACTTGTCATTACACCAGAATGTGAGATGATGCTCCAGTATTTCCAAAATGTACACTTCAACCAAAAGCTGTTAATTCCCAGAAATATTCCTGCTATTTTTCCAAGTTTAAATTCCTACTGTCTTCTATTTGGGGCAAGTCAAGGAACCCTTTTCAAGCTGAAAATTGTATGGATTTTGCAGAAAACTCTACATTAGTAGTAGAGAGTCACTATCCAATGAGCTACCTTTTACATGCTGTTTCTTTCAGTTGTCTAAGCCCATCCCATCATTTTCTTAGCAAAACCTCATCTTTGAGTACAAAGGTTAAATAGTACCTGTAAGAGGTTTCTGTTTTAGACACTAAGTCATATCTCCTTGATGGATGCTGCAACCTCCTGAGGAAGGTGGTTAGGTATTTCTGTACACAGTTCAGGGGAGAAGATTGGCAGGAACAGCTATAGGCTCCGTATTCTGGCCCAGAATTTCTCATGACATGGCCCTGAATAAGCAGGCCTAATCAGTCTGGAGATAAATTGGAGCTGGACCCTTCATGCTAGCCAGGCTCATCCAACAAAGTTAAGGTACTTCAGTGAGGGCTTGAAATCTGTAAGATCAGAAGAGATGCACCGCTGGGGGAGAGGGTGCAGATGGAAAAAGCAGCAGCTCTTAAAAAACAAGTGTTTGCATTAGAAAAGTAGTGCAGACATTAAGATACTATAATTTATGTAGTGGTTACTATGATCTGGATTATTCTAGAGCTCTGCAGAGGCTAGAACTACTAGCAGTAGAAATTGAGCTTATCAGGCCTTTGTAATCACTTTCCAATACTCAGTACACACAAGTTATCCTTCCATGAATATTACATTGGCTTGCTTACTTTGAAACACATTGGAAAATTTGCTGTTATTCTAAGAAAGCCTCAGTGTGTTATTTCATATTTTTGACTGCTTGCACTTGCTACAGACCCCTGCATTTTCCCACTGATTTAGCATTAAGGCATTTGTTACCATTATTCTCTCCAGACTACTCCATGACACAGCATTTTCCTAATCCTGGTAATGCCATTACAGAAAAAAATGAGTCCTCTTATATTATTAGCATTTCCAGCCCTCCTTCAGCACTAAGATGAGGTGTCCTAACATATATACAACAACAGTAGACATCCCACCCAGGAAACCACATTTTAAGCCACTCCAAAGAGTAGTCAGGCTAGAACCGAGTTTATGTTCAAAGTCACTATTGCTCAACCATGTACACAATATACCATGACCTTTTAAAAGATAATGAGCATAAAATTGTAGCAAGAGCTGTTTTATAGAATTGGCATGCATTCAGGTTTAAATCACTACTGTACTGACATTCAAGAATTTCAGTCCCCATACAGACTGAGATGAACAGCACTTTTATTTATTTCAGTTACAAGAAGAAAGACAAGTAAACCTTACAACCAGAAAGGCAATGAAGGCCTCATTAGCTTAGTGAAAACCATTTCATAATCTAGGCAATGTTATGATTTCTTGAGATCACAAAGAAAGCATACCCCCCTCTTAAACAACTTTTCCTTGTTTCTGTAAGGAAGTTTCCTGTAAGAACAGCACACTGATGTTAACAGAATCAAGAGGGACCAGCGATGTACAAAGCCTACATTCACCCTCCCACCCCCCACAAAAGGCTTAAGTGTAGATTTTATTTCAAAAAAGATAACATGCAGTCATGATCACACCTAGAGAAGAGGGGAAAATTAAAAGTCTGTTTTGAAATGAAGTCAAATCATTATTCATTAATGAAGCTAAATGAAGATACTTTTCCACATGGCAGTGTACTTCACAGGTAAAGAAAACTCCCTTTATTTCAAGCCAATGCTTATCTGACTTTTGTAGTAAAGAGAAAATAGCTTACATAAAAACTGACCCCCCCTACCAAGCGCTCTAGATAAGAACTATGATGTAAGAAAAGTGCTAGAAACATGTGGGAGAAATTACTATACAAAGTGTCAAGTGCAACCCCCCACCCTCGACCCCCTTACCTAGAATTCAGTGTATTTACTGAAGTACAATAGAAAAGATGGAATTCAGGAGTGGTTGACAGTGGGATACAGTGCCACAGGTTGAACAATATCCACTAAAGGACAACCCCAAGCATGCATGTACCCCACCACAAGGGAAAGATGTGCTTGAGCTTCCCAACCTGCTCATTTCTGCAGTTAGCTCTAGTATTATTTCCTTCCTCATTACCAACTTAATTCTTGCAGTCCTCCGAAGGGACCACTTTAAAAAAGTCCATAATTCTGGATTATTTGACAAAAAAATTCACTTGCTATTTTAGAGAATACAGAGCTGGAAAAAGAAAATCTTACAACTCATGTCTTCTGTTGCTCTTTTAAGTAGTATTGGACCTATGAGGAATATGAGGAAGTGCCAGACCAAGTACTGTTTCATCATCCTTCGCTGTCTGAACAATACAGCAGAGGCAGACCATAACTTCTTCTTTCAATCTCTAGTCGATCAGTTCTGGTGCATTTCACCTGTGCTTTATGTCAGTTCTCAGTCTCCCTCACTTAAGCAGTCAAAGATACATTTATTACACGGTACTCACAGCGAGTCTCGGAATTTCAGGCAGACCTATTAATTCCCCAGGAGTATCCTTTTGGCTCAGTGAAGACTTTTGAGTACCTTAACTTACATTCATTCTGAAGGCAGCCACCATGTTTCCATTTATCCAAAGAGCTATTTGGAGTGGGGCTGTTACCATCTTGAAATTGCAGTTTAAAGATAACCAGTAACACAAAAGAGTACTTTCTGTATTTCCACTGAAGGAGCTGAGAAAAAAAAAATCTGTAAGAAACCATTGCTGCAATTTTATTTTAACAAAAGGGCAGATTTATTCATGTTTACAAACAAGTTTCAAAAACAAAAAGGAGAACATGTATGCTACCCACTAACAACCTTTCAAAATGCCAACAGCCCTCATGCTGCATGAAGGATTCTATAGATTAGAAAAAAATCACAGTTCCACTCACAGTTCACCAAGACAGCACTAAACTAACATGATTAGACAAAAACAAAGGACTAAGATTCTGATGTATTTTGATTTAATCCATTTTGCCCGAGATAACAGAAATATTTCAAGCAAGTTCCATCACGTATTGATGTCCTGCATTAAACAATCCTACTAAGTTCTGAACAAAAGTTATTCATTAAGTTTCTCAAAATTTTTAAAAATTAAACAGTTGTTTCAAAACCATTAAGTAGTAAATGTATTTAAGAAACTAATTAGGACAGAGGCCATAACTTCATTAGAACACCACTGCTCATGTTTTTACAAAGCATTAGTGTTATCTATTTGGCTATTAGTAGTAGCAATTTATCTACAATATTTAACAAGGTAAATTGCAGGCAAAATTTAGTACAGTTTCAATAGAAACACCCTTTTCCTGAAAATACAGCAGTATTTGAAGGACTAGTTTTTTTGGTTTTTTTGTTTTGTTTTTTGTCTTCTCTGCATCATTTATAAGGAAGCTTCCCATCTATGAACAGGAACAAAAAAGTATCTACAAACCTTGTAAACAGATCTGTATCATTTATAAACATAAATAATCCAAATTATTAACAGCCAACAGCAGAAATTAAAGTATCAATTCAATGATCCAGGGCCTCCTTGCCCTTCCCAGCTTTCCCCTCAGAAAAGGATCATGATAAACTAAAGCTCTGCTAACACACTCTTCAGGACCATTCTTAGTACAACAGATGATCCACAGGTCACTTATGCTGAGTTACTGTTTATCTGTCAGAGTTCATTATTACTCCCACCCCCAGAAAAGCACCCTCCAGTCTGGCAGAAAGCTTTTTTTAAAAAAATAAATCTACATTCGTACAAGTGTTTCTTCTGTTGAAGTCCAAGACAAGAATATCATCTTGTCCATCATAATGTGTGAAGAGACCCAGTTTCAATTTCTTTACAATGCAGCTAGTGTGTTAACATTCAGCTTACAATCAGAGTGATGTTTCCAAACTATGTAGTGGGCTCCCTGGGGATGAAGAGGTAGCAGACTTGTTCTTGTCTGTTGTAAGGTGAATTCCACTGTCAACCGCATTGTTATTTCTATTGGGAGAGGGAGGGGGACTAGAGTTGCGTTTTGTTGGAGCGTCATCTTCAGCATCAGTATCATCAATAAGGGGAATATGAGGCTCGGAGTCTTCTATTCTAAACTCAGGATGCGTCATAAAATTGTGAATTGAACTTCGTGTCTCAGGTTTCTCTAGCCCCTCGTACAAGGAGCTACGAAATGCATTCACCACTCGGATCTGTAAACAAAGAAAAGACATTGTTAAAATGCTGCAGATTTACTCATCGTGGCATGGTTCTTATGAGTTTGAATCCACAAACAGCTAGACATGAGTGAACCAAATTTGTATGATGCAGTGGAACTTGCAATAAACTGTAAAAAATGAAGAGCATTTCAGTAGAGCACTGCCAGTCTACACAGTAGGAATAAAAATTGTGAAAGTACTGCGAAAAGCTGAAGGGCCCTAAAATTCAGACATGGCACTAAAATTGTTTAATTACTTAACATGGGCTAAGCATTTTTCAGAAGTGAGGCCAACAAATATTTACTTATTCAAAAATTAAATAAATCTCAATGAGTGTTTTATTGAATATTTGGGTGAGATTGGAGGGAGGGAAGGAGGGGAGAGGCTGAAAATAAATTAGGGGATAAAAGGGTCACTAATTCTCATGCTAGGAATTAGGATGTCAACTGACTATGAAAAAGCCAAGCAAGTGTAAGCCAATGTCACAATGAACGAACATTTACAAAGTCATGCAAAAAAAGGATACCGCTGTAACAGCTGTAAATATTCGAGTATATAGCCATTTACCACGCTAGAGAAAGCTCCTTAGTGAACAGTGCTTTGGAAACTTAAGACCAGAACCAGGAAATTGGATACTGTATTGTACAGTTTAGTAGCCAGGACAGGTTGTAACTTTGAAGAGACTACTTAAGTAGCGCCAAGTATGAGAAAAGCAGGATGATCAGCCTTTGCACGAGTCTTCAATTTACACTGAATTCATGGACACAGTTCCTAGGCTGAGGACTGTTTCATGTCTTTTTGTTGTTTAATATTTTTTAAATCAGAAAGGCAACAGAATTCATAAATGAACCCTTTCATAGTTAAATTAGATACAAAAGAAAGTACAGCTTTGTTTTGCAAACTGCGCATGTCCAGGCTGGCTTGAATTTAAGCTTTTCGAACTATTCTTTGAATGATGAAGCCAGCTGCCCACACTCCCCTTCTCCCATGCCCCATGTTTCCCTGATCAACTAGAGAAATTCAGGATTCATTCTTGAATGGATAAAACGAGTAAGGTGAGGCAGAAGTCATTGAGTCATTTATCCAGCACTTTTCCCGAGATAGTTTCCCCCTACTGTTGACTCCCTATTCAATTCTCAACATGCCTACCCTGAGCAAGTCTCCAACAAAGCAGTGTGAAATAGTGTTAAATAGTAAGCAGCAGAGCAACTCTGTAGTAAATAAGAACTTGCTGTTACAAACAGCAAGTCAAATTTAAAGCTTTTTTTAGAGCATCCATGATGACTTGTTTCAAGCTGAGAAATACATCATGACTATATTCCAGAGTTCCTCAACGGGAAAAAGTAAAGTGACTTCCAGGTGAAGGAATGAAGCTGGAAGGTCAAGCAGATCAAGAGCAGAGACTTCAAAACAGCTAAGATACACCAGGGAAGTTCACTGTAAACAGACATGGGCTCCCCAAAAGCAATGTGTTAAATCAAACTGGTTAAATAGAACCACTGCACATGATAAAGTCTCATGTCCCAACTGTGTTCTTTGACCTCTAGAAGTGGGGCATCCTCTCCCCAGCTCTGCTCCCTCAGACCACTTGTACAAAGAATTTTACTCCAAAGTGATCATGTCCCCATTTTTATACTACAGGTACACGCTGGGCAAATTAACCATGGAGGCAAGGGAAGAGAGCACAGGGAATAAGGGGGCGTAGGGATGGTTCACACCATCAAGGGGGAAGACGTAACTACCAGTAAGGGGAGGACAGAAAAGGGTGTGAATGTGCTGGAGAAAAGATTACAACAGCAGCTAGTACTTGACTGTTCATTGCATGAAAAACTTTGAGCACACTGTCAAGGAGTTGGCGCGTTATGCGAGGTTTAAACAAGTCCAGCCAGCTGCCTAAACTGTCTTGGCACTTACCAAGAAAATAGCAGTGACAATGCCAGACTGAAAGTTTGCAATGACTTTATTTGGCATGTTGCATCCCACTGGGCCATTTATGTGGCAAAATGAAATATGAATGTCTCATGGGACTGTTTTTTCATTGCTTACTGATGAGCTTTTAGAACATCAGAAGCAATGAAAAACAATTCTGGCTTAAGAGGAGAGCTGTAATTATCATAGAATATAAAGGCTTGGTTCCCATGCAGAATGCAATACACAAGTGGGCTAGACACTACAGCAAGCCCAGGACTCTCAGAGTCCAGCCACAAAAGCAGAAATCAAAATTTCAGCACTTAAAAAGGGAAAATCTAGTGTTTTGAAGGCTCTATTTTCAACCACTCAAGATAATTAAACTAGAGGGATAACTATAAATAAATCATGGAAGTGAGGTGCAAACAAGACAATTTGTTAAGTGTAATTCATACTGTCATCAGGCCTTCCTCATATTAGTACCAGAATAGCAAGGAATGCAGTTGGCACTCCAAATCCTCCTAACCAGATGGCTGCTTAAGGGTTGCAACCTTACTTCATAGGAACTATTTTCCAACAAACAGCTCCAGATAAGAGACAATAACACATCTGCTTCCCATTAATCTATATTAGTTCTCAAAAGTTCTTCTGGAGAGCATAGCAGAAGGCTGTAGTAGTGAAGATAAAAAAACTAGTTCTCTGCTATGGTAGCACTGTATCTGGTCATTTGATGCAATGAGATGCTGCAGTGCCCAGTAGATTCTGCTCAAATAGCAGCATGGAATGACATTGCTCTCTAGAGAATTCTGAATGTCTAATTAATGTTCTGGAGTGTAGTTAGGGATACAGGTTACTAATTAGCATTTTAACTAGGAGATGCAATCCTGTGCATCCTTAAGTGTTAAATCTACTTTTCATTTTGTGTTCCTGAGGCATGCAAATTTGAGAGCTGGGCTTCTCAGTACTACTGCAAGGTAGGGAAGTACCTGTCTCACCACTGGAGAACAAATACAGAGGTAAATGCTTGTGCAAGCTCACGTGTGAACTCTGACCAAGCCCAAAAATAAAAAAATAAACCTTAAAAAAAAAAAAAAAAAATCTGAAGAGACCATTTCACTTAAGACGGCTCCTGAAATTAAGGTCTTCATCCATCTGGTAATCTGAAAGTGTAAGCAGGAAGAGGAAGGGGGAGAAGAAGCCCTCTCAGAGTTATTTCTAAAAAACAATTATTTAACCCAGCTCTAAGAAGTTAGAGGAGAAAGTTAAACATGTATTAAGAGGGAAAACTCTGAACAAAGATATTGGCTATCAGTATTCAACTACAACTACTACACATCTTCTGGCTCCCAATTTTAGGCCTACATCCAAGAGAAAATAAATCTCCAGCCTCTACAGAGAGGAAGGCTGAAACTGAAATGCTACTTAAGAGCACAATATAGAGAGGGTAGAATTGAGGTGAGACAAACTTCGCTTTCACTGATGGTTTATGAACTGCTCCCAGAAGAACCTAGAGAGGAAAAAGAACTCTTCAGATTCGAATGAAAGTTTCACCATTTAATGCTTAAAACTTTTTTTCTTTTATATATTAGCTAATTCATATTTCTTCTGACTTGTACGCATTTTAGAAGCCTTGTTTCGCCGCCTGAATCCTGATGTTGAAAAAGTTGTTATTCAGTAAATATGGTCCAATGAAAGCGGAGATTCATAAAGTTTCTTACAGGCTACAAAGAAAATGCATTTAGTGCTCCATGTTCTAACTAAATTCATATCTTCAAGATACCATTTGCTTCCAAATCAGCTTGCTTACTTAAGTATTGTTTGTGCTGCAGTCCAAGAGATCTGTTTTTGTTGACCTGGGTCCATGATTATACAGTTAATTCACTTATTCAATGCAAATCACTCTAAGAGGCATATACTCGAAAATTTACAACAGTTTTCCCTTTTTATCTTAAAAATCCCTCTGTACACGAATGGATGAAGGCACAGGATATGCAGGCTCACAGCTTTCGCATTAAAGTCTTTTGTTGAAACTGTTCCACCTGTTCTCAGCCCTCTAAGAAAAAAAAGTCTTGAGGACTCCACTTTGTGGAAGAGCTCTATAAAAGCCTGAACGATGATTTTAAGTACTAAGGAGAAAATGAGAAACGTTAGGTACGTGAATTAGGAAATGTTAATTTCATGCACTTTAGGAACACACACTCACACCCCACAGTAGTAGAAGCAGTAGTAGAGGAAAACACTACATGTGTAGGGGTAGAAATATTTGTTACATCATGGTGCTGGCTGGCGATGGAGGGTTGCCGCCTTAGAGCCCCCTGAATGGTACTTCCACTCTGGAAAGCATTCACTACATCCATCTGCAAGGAATCAGAGATTGTGACAGCTTGCTCAGCAAGAGAGAGAGAGAACAAGAGAAAGGACCATCCCATCTATAACACACAAAAAAGTAAAGAAAAAAAGGCACTTTTTAAAAACAGAGCAGATATACAGGCAAGAGTTGCATTTAAAGCTGAAGAAAACAGAGGACCCTGAGGGATTACACATCCATCCATACCCCCTTTTGACACTCTCAGTCACACCAGTTAGAACAGCCACCTTAGTCAAAAATGGAGAGATTTCCCTCAACACCCACTGCATCCTACCTTTTTCAAGACCATACCTGAGTTTGTATCCTGTTTAGGCCCCTAAACCACAAGATCTGACCACGACGCAGTTCTCTCTCAGCATGATCAATCTCCTCTACATCTTCTGCTAGTTCTTCTTCAGGAATCTCTTCCTTTTGTGTTCCATGACCAGCTTCTTTAAGGAATTTCAGTCGGCTGGTTGGAATTGTTGAAATCAACTAACAGTGGATAAAATATATAAATCAGGATTATTCTTTTTTTAACAACAAAGAAGGAGTAATACCAGTCTTAAGGCTTAACAAATATCCTGCACACAATTAGCAAAGTTGAAAAAACTATATTATATAGACAGGATGAGTGCATCAACGTGAAACAATCACTCCAGGTGAATAGCTGCAAAGCTGTAAACATACTTACTACCTCAACCAAGATGAGAAATTAAACTTGGACTACAAACCAGCCTTGCCAGGGACAAAGAATTCCACATTAACATTACTTGACAATGCCAGGAAGGAGCAGTACTGAAGCTACAAAAGCCATTAATCCTGTAGATTGTACTTGTATCTAGAGCTTTTAGTTTCATCAATTTGATGAGCATGATGTGTCACCTCAAGTGGGACCTCCATCACCTAAAGTAACCACAATTAATTCAGAAATACAGAAGAGACATTCATTCATTCATTCATTCGTGACCTGAGAGATATCTATCCGTTTGCAAAGTGAGTGATGTTTCTGAAATGATATGCAGCTCAAACTCTTACTTTGCTACTAGGTGTAGAGCAGTTAATAGACCTTAAATTAATCAAAAGCTACATGTGGTTAAGGGGAGTAATCTTTTGGTACATTTTATCTAGCAGATCCAGATCAATTCCAAGACTGTTTTGCTTGATCGTCACAAACCTAGAAGTCAATTTCTGCAGCTGCAGAAGAAAAAAGTCTGTTCCATAAGCAAGATAAACAGCCCTTTATGCTGAAACTGCTACTATGAATGCTCCCAGCTCACACTTCAGCTTCTATTATTCTCAGAAAATTAAAGCTCTTTGACTTTAATGAGATGCTAGGACAGCATGAACTGCAGCAGTGAAGCTTTGCCCTTGCAAGCCACATTGGGTCAAAGGTATTTCAAGCCATCTCAATTCTCTTCTAGGACACTTTTAAACCTCAGAGTGACTCTATTTGATTTTTTTAAATAATTAATTTTCCAGAGAACCTTGTCAAAAAGCTTGGTCACTTTTAGAATATATGTCTATGTATATGTATTTACAACGAAAATTCATTCTACCAATTTTATGGTGAAACATGAAGTGTCTTTTACTTAGTGGAAGGAAAGGAACTGTAATGGAAAACTCTTCATGTGGTATGAAAAGTTTAGACAACTATGTCATTAAATAATAGAAAACTCTGTAGCTCTAAAGTTTCACGTAAATAAGCTTGCTGTTTACAAGCACTGTTGTGCATGCAATAGTAATGACTCTGGGGGGAGGGGAAAGGAAATAAAAGTCCGAATGTAATATGGCTTAATAGGTGGGAAGACTTTTCAATTATGTCACAATTATGCAAAGGTAGATTAAAGAGAAAGTTGGTTTGAGTTTTACTGCATTTCTTGCTGTTCTTGGAGGTTTTTAAATCAAGAAAATACTGTCAAGTTTAGCAATTCTTGATTTTTCAAGAAAACCATAAAGCACCAAGTTAAAATATATTTAACATTGGCCTGTTCATTGCATCTTGTATTCTCACCACATTTTCTGGTACTCCTATCTGGCTGAAGATATAATTTCATATTTAAAAGGTAACTACAGCTTCTGCTAGTTAAAAATTGCTAAACAAACCAGCCACGGCATCTAGATATGAAATGTAAATAATTGACCCACTCTAAGGAAGGAATATTCAACTAAGAACTAACTTTCTAGCTATTGAACAAGTCAATTTTAATTAATATTTACTGTCAGTCTTCATATATTCATACAGTCCACTTGAAAGATCTGAATGCTAAAGACGGTGTGTTTGGGTTTTTTTCCCATTTAAAGTATACTGTTGCAAGTAGATATTTGGCATTTTTAAAAATCCTAGTTTACCTGGCCCCAAAGTAATGTGCCCATGCCCAGGAAAATGGACCACAGCCACTGTTCAACTGAGAGTTCTGAGCAACTGAAAGGCTTTCCACCAAACTGCACAATAATTATCTGTGAAGAAAAACATAATTAAACATGTATCAGTGACCTGTTACTAGAAAATTCCCTAATGCTTTGAGATCACAACAGACAGCTCTGCAAGAGAACATGGGATTTCCCATCTTATTAAGCATATTCTTTCACTGACTCAGCAGTTTGAGCAAGCTTCCAAACATAAGCCATATTCTTCCTCTTTTCAGTGTTTCAAGAACTACCCATTTATTCTTCAAATGTCACACTCATGAAGCCTTGTTGAGTCCTCAATTTTGCTTGTAGTTTTTTCCCTTCATTTCATGATTACAGCATGTATTTGATGCTACAAATGTACAGTGGTTACTTTTGCTATGAACATCCATCTTGGAACTAAGTCCAAGATTCACAAACTTGTATTAATAGAATTCATAGATCCACAAGACATGAAATATCTCAGAAGTAATCCTAGAGTATATTACTGTGTATCACATCAGTGTTAAATATCAGACTTTAAATCACACATGTGACTTTAAATCTTGCGGGAAGGGGGGCAGAGATCTCAAAAGCTAAAGTAAGTGAGCTCTTACTGCCCTAGCTATTACAACAAGCTGTAGGGCCCTAATGAGCTAGGTATCTCTGCATAGGAATTATATGCATGAAAGTCTGCCCTGGAGAATCAACAATTCAAAGTAGCAGGGCAGGCATGAAAAGGAGACAGTATTGACCATTAAGTAGGGCACCTGACAGCTGAAAAAGCAAAGAGTATCTTCTGTTATTAGCTCAGAATAAAACACTGGAATGGCAAATCAGGAGTTGGGAAGTGATTGGGACTGTCAAATTTATAAAGGGAACATAGCGGCAGTCAGGAGTAATTTCTAAATAACTAGATTTTCTAAATCTAATTTCTAAATGTTTGGCTTTGTTGCACAATGACAGTCAATCTGCTGCATACATAACCCCAAAAATAAGAGCAACTTTCTGAAGAAGTGTCATCTATAAAAATCTAAACCTGAGAGAGTAAGTTCCCTGACTTAATGTGAAGCAGTGGAGTGTAAGTTTCCAGTGCTTGAACTGATATGACTTCCATCAACTTCATGAATTATCAAGTCTAAGGAGAAGCTTAATATGTAGGTTATATGTCCCAAATAGCTTAATCCAAAATGAAAATGGGTTCTGAAATTAAGCAGTATACTGATTTGTTTGTTATTTCTTCTGACTAAATAAAGTGAAGGCAATTTAGAGGGTGAAAATATTTCTTGTAAACTATTTTCTGCAGATTCTGTTTTAAATTGGCGTTTCTCAACACCAGCATGTGAACCCAATCAACTGCAGCGTTTCATTTCCTTTTTTAGCATGTACTGATTTAACTAACTAGCTTTTATAAATTCCTCTGTGTACCCCAACAGAAGGTCCCTAGACATCAGGTTTTTTTCACTTAAAACAGCACCTTTACAATATATACCAGTAGGTATCACTGATTCCTGTGTCAATAAGATAAAAACTGACACTTAAATTTCTAATGCTTATTCATGTCCTAATCTCATGAAGAAAATAAGAGAGTTGTACCTTTTCTACAATTGCTTAAATGGACTCTCATTCAGAAACACAGGCAGATATTATAAGAAAGATTTAGGGGAAAGGGGTCAATGAACAGATGACAAATATAATTTCTTTATATTTTTCCAAGAGACTAGAACACCAAGATAAAGTTGGAGAACTAGAAAATGCAGAAGGTAACTACAAACACAATATTCCAGCATTACCAATTACAAAGAGGTCTTACCTGGAAACTCCATCAAGCTGCACTTACAACTTACTTATTATGTGCTTGACCCTGCAGGTTTTCCACATTGCAGAAATTAGATCTCTGGCACTAGTTGATTGGCATTTCCAAGGTAAGCAAGTACATCAGTGCACTAAATTTTCCCCCCACCTTCCAAGAACCTGCTTACCTGCACAACAAACGTCCCCAGCACAATAGAACAGAAGATAGCGTTGTTAAAGATTCCTTCAAAAACATTTCTTTCACCATGAATCTTTCGGGCATTAATTTCATTAAAAAGCTGCATCATCACAAACGTATTAAATACTATAGTATAATGCTCTGAAGGAGGAGCATGCAGAGGTGCATTTCTTCCACTATCGATATCAAAAATTTTCTCACCTGTATATAAAAGGCATTTATGAACAGCTTAATTAGTGTCTTTACACATGCACTACAGCAAAAAAATAGTTTTAAAAACACACCTCTCTACAACATTCAGAATAAGTTTGTAAAGCCTCAGTGTCCTTACCAGCAAACAGGAGCGTGAAGACCACAACAAGCTGGTAGAATGCATGACCCAAAATGTTCTTCATCATTGTACGAGAAATCAAAGGTTTGTTTCTACCATAAGGCTTCCGCAACAGAAGAGCTTCAGTGGGTGGTTCTGTTGCCAGGGCAAGAGAAGCTAATGTGTCCATTATGAGATTTACCCACAGCATCTGCACGGCTTTAAGTGGAGAATCCTATAAAGATAGATACATAAACCCTCCAATAGAAGTGCAGAAATTACAGCTAATATTGCCATTTATCATACAATATTGGCACGTTCTGAGGAGCATTATGTTCTTTGGACTACTGTTTAAGTGAAAGTTTGAACTTAAAAATTAATCAATCATGACTTTTTCAACCTTTATTCGCTGAAACAATCCCCCAGTGGTACGTACTTGTGTTATGCATGCTCCTGTAAAAGCAACAATTACTGCTACTACATTGACAGTAAGTTGGAACTGAAGAAATTTGGAGATGCTGTCATAGACATTTCGTCCCCACATGACTGCTTTAACAATACTGGTGAAGTTGTCGTCTGTGAGGATAATATCAGAAGCTTCTTTAGCTACGTCTGTTCCAGCAATACCCTGATAGAAAAAGAAAAAACATTATGAAATATTACAGGATGCACAGACTTTTTATGACAAAAGCTATTATGTCCTTGGTCAGCATCCACTTGGATGGACCACGTCTGAAGGGCTCCTTTGATGCAAGCATCTAAAGACTTATTGAAACAAGTTCTGCTCAAACTTGGGGAAATGAAAACAAAGTAATGCTCTCTTTAAACTAAAGGCCTTTATAAAAATTTGAGAGTTGACAGTAAAGACACGCTAAGTTCTCCCAAAGAAATGTCTCCCAAAGAAATGTTACCAAACCCTGTTCAAGCTGAAGGCCACCAGATGGTGCAGTGCTACAGTTCAAGCTCTGTCCCTAATTACTTTGTTGTATGGATTCCAGCAGCAGGCAACACATGTGCTTGCAACACAGTAGGATGATAAACATTGCCAAAAACCTCTTGCAGAAAAGGCATTAGCATTGAACAGTAGAATATGCAATGCCATTCCGTATGCATTGCAAAGCAACATGTCATTCTCAAATTTTAAGCACCTCTAGTCTCCTATAGTACCCCAACAGCTTATTCTGTAATGATGCCTGAAGACAACTATTTAAAAAATCTTTCTCTTTTGCCATTCCAAACCCATCAACTCAATAGCTAATTAAATGATCCTTATTCTTGATATATTATTTTGTCAAGGAAGTGAGTCACCTGCACAACTATGTGTATGCCTTAAAAGGTACCTTTAGATTTCATATGGTATATTTTAGGTGCTATTAAGGTAAGAAATCGGAGAAGATATCTCCTTACACAGATGAACACAGACAGCAACTGCAACAGGAAACAATCAAAAACAGATACACAAATCTGCCCCTGACAGCAGGCAGCTACAGCAGCTATACCATACCAGAACAGAGACACTTGTTACGACAAGACTCTTACAGTCTAGACAACATTTCAGGAGCTGTCTGATTTTAAAGTTACATTTTTGAAAAACACTCCTTGAGAATGATGTGAAATCTCTTTCCCATTTTTTTCTCCCAGGAGTAGAATCTGAGTCTATTTCTTTTTCTGCATGTGGTATAGGAAGAGTGTGGTCTTTATTTTTTCTTTCCTTTCAAATACTTTAAGACTACAGTGACCTGCCATGACCAAAGTTACATTTAAGGCTGAGGAGGAATCCTGTGGCAAAGGGAACCTTGAGGAATCTGTCTTACTCTGTGTCTTGAAAGAAAGCTGAAACCCACATACTTGAGGCATGAGTCTATGCAGCATAAGCAGTTAAAAGACAGGATATTGTTTGGCAGCCACATGAAAGGGTAGCTGAGAAAGCAATGTAATCTAACGAATCATCCAGACAAGTGCTGATCCTACACTATCATAAAATGCTGTTGCTTCAGTTGTACTTCAGATATACAAGATATGTTTTTCAAAGCCATTTTGAGCATCAACTGGCAGTCTCATTTTTATGGTCTCCCTGTTTCTACGTATCCTTGAATGGGAAACATGATTAAGCTCATTCAACACTGCATATAAGTTTTACTCAAAATCAACAAATATTATGCTATTTACAGCCTAAAGTCACTGTTCTATGGTGAAAACATTTCAGAAATCTTCAGTATTCTGTTCCAGTACTTTGCAACAAGTTTTTGTGTAAACCATTTTTCATTTGCAAGTAATTGGAAATCTGCATTTTTAAAGTTTTATTTAATGGTGAATGGCACGAGAATATTTTCCAAATAAAAACACAGTTAAGTTGGAATGTTGACTTCATTAACATGGTTGTATACTAGGCCCATGAAACAAGGGTCTTCAATCTTAAGTGATTTGATAAGTTATTGATAAAATAGTGGGGATTTAAAAACAATATCCTACCATAGCAAATCCAACATCTGCCTTCTTCAAAGCTGGACCATCATTGGTACCATCACCAGTTACTGCTACAACTTGCCTCTGGTCAAAGACAGTGCTGTCAATTATACCTAAAATAAAATGACATACAAGTGTGAGATTCCAAAAGTTCTAAATTAACAACACAGCTGAGACTCAACCTGAAAGAGAAACCCAGTTTTTGTCTTTATCAGTCGTAAAACAAAAAACAAACAAAAACAGCTACAAAAAAAAGTTCTCATTGGCTCCATTTCTCAAGCAGAAAGGAAAACAATCAGTTGGAAACAACTTCACAGACATTTCCCATTCTTCAGTCCTATTTTTTTTTTTTCCTAGAAGCACAGGAAAAGAAATCTAGCTTTACTTACAAGCTCAGAGAATTTTTGCCTACCTTTTACTAGAGTGTGTTTGTCAGTGGGTGAAGATCTTGCAAGAACACGAAGCTTTGGCCAAATTTTATCTATTCGCTCTTGCTCTATCTGCAGAAAGAACATTGGTTATATTTTACACACGTAGGAGGCTTAGAATAGCTGTTGATCTACTTGATTAGAGAGTCAATGTGCTTACCTCTCCTTTTTCATTGCGTATTCTCCTGTTAAAGTCCTTGCCCTCCAAACACAGGAAGTCTTCACCAGGATTCAGAATACCGCATTTCAATGCAATAGCACGAGCAGTGTTAATGTTATCACCCGTGACCATGCGTACAGTTATGCCTGCACGTTGACACTTTTTTATTGCATCAGGTACCTGTAAGCAACAAAAAACCACACAGGCTCAGAGACTGTAGATTAGTTAAATAAATCTAGACATGTGAGTAAAAGGTACAGGATAAATGTTATTTTAAAATTAAGACTGTATTTATGGAACATTAAAAAAAAAAGATTAAGTAGCATACCACAATTCTCTTCCTAAAAACCACACAAATTGCAATTCTGGCAAGAGCCTTTGTGCCACTGCTATGTCTGTTCCCCACCCTCCTGCAATTTTTCAAATACTGCAGTATTCAAAAATACCACAAAAATCCTCATGACATATTAGGCTATACTGAGTACTGTCATTTTATTTATGATTATGTGAAATAAACTACAGCTGATACTCCACTACTTCACCCATAAGTTTTACTGTAAAGTGACAATGGTGCAGATCAGCTCCAATTTCCACGTGCATGTGGCATAAAAGCTTTCACTGCTGAAAAACCTTACACCTCAACCACAAGCCAAACTCCTTGCCCACAGATCTCAGGTGACAAGCTCACCTCTCCCTCATTCCCCATGAGAAGCTGGTAACAAGTACAATGGCTAATCTTATCCAAACCAAAAGTCCTAATGCTCCAAGTGGTAGAAAAATAAGTTGTTTCATTTGCTGAGATCCTGCACAATAAGTACCTTAAGTTATTAGTTTGAACAGAGCTTCAGTAGCACAGCGTAAGTGACATTAAGTAGTTTTAATCTGCTTTTATAGCTCCATTAACTTTCCCTTCAAGAAATTAGATTTTCATTTATTAACTATGCTTAAGGCATACAATAGCAATTCAGTTTCTGCATGATGAAAAACATGAAACCCGTGTATTAGAACCACGGCAGCTTAGCTGGTGACCCTACCTCAGGTCTCACAGGATCTTCAATCCCAACAACAGCAATGCATGTCAGACCAGTAACAATATCATTTTCATTGTCCCACTCTGGCTCAGGCTCTCCTGCTGGGAAGTCTCTGAATGCCAGGCAGATGGTTCTGAGACCTTCAGAAGCCATTGGCTCAATTACAGTTTTCACAATATCATCGCGGTCCCTAGGTCTAAATACCTTTGGTTCACCATTAGCACTCAGTATTTTGAAGCACCTGGAAAGAAAGGTTTAAAGAGTTATCAAATTTTAAACAGAAGTTCAACCCACTCTTTGACTTATTAGTCAACTGTAATAAGGTTTTTTTTTAAGCTATGTTATTGCTAGACTCACACACACAGGCATAAAAAGCCAGTAGTGATATCTCTAAGTTAATCTTCTCCAAATGCACTTTATCTCTTCAGCTGCAAAACACACTTTCTGTAGAAAGTTGACTGAGCCACTTATCCCAGGATGAAAGTAATGCCCAATGAATTTCACATACAAACACCAGTTACCTCCCAGAAGTATCCA